TGAAAATCACTGGCTGGTGATCTAGCCTCCAAATTAACAGAATATTAACTTTTCCAGGGAATGAAGAATAATTTTGGGATAAAAGGAAAAGCAAAATCGGAGAATTGTAGCTGGGTCCGGTCTATTGAAGTACATTGATTGGTCACCTTCCTCGTATTCACCTTGGAGTAGTTAGTCGTGCATTTGAAGTTGGCCACCACCTCTAATTATATTGAAGTATATAGCGAAAGTAAATGCAAGCCGCCTTTCACTGCCCACAAACATCTCCTAATATAAGGTGTGATTTTTCACTAGTTTTATTTCTCTCGTGAAGTGGTTCAGTCATAATCCAAGTGATGTCACACGTTGACTTCATTATGGTTTCTAGCACCTTTATCAAGCCTCAACTGTAGGCAAACCTCACGTAGAAGTAACTGAGAAGAGGACAAATATGCATTAAACTACATTCAGTATTCACCCCTTTGTATGTTATCTTTATTGTGATGCCGACAGATGACGATCACCTTATCGTACTCAGTTTCAACATTTCCTTGAATGTCAGTGTGCCTCTCCTTTTACTGCCATATTCCCCCTCTTCTTCCGAAAATAAGTTGAGGCCTTTGTAGTGTATCCTCGTGGTCAGAAAACAACTTTTACTGAAGTTATGTTAAGTAGAAGAATCCCTGATCTTACTGTTCATAAATCCTAACTTCAATCTGCAAAGCGCATCGAAATAAAGGCAATCGGTACATTTGTGCTTGTAAACTCTTCACCTAATAATGGGTAGATTTGCCTGATTGCCACCAATATGACGCCCAATTGAGTGAGCTTGTTTATCAACTATATCGGTAGGTACGACCTCGAGAATTCTTATGTAGAGCTTAGTGGGACAGCCATTGAAGCGGGCACAGACAGTTTCCACCTCATTCCCACCAGTTGCGCCCATCTCAGCGACACGGATTCCTGCGACTGAATAACAAGGTGCGTGGAAACATCGATGGAGAGGTCATGCAAATCACAATTAGAATAGAGGAAGTTTGATTTAATGTGTGCGTTTAGTTTACTGAATTTGAGTACCATCTCGCGGAAGTTCCCAGGCGAAGTTTTTCTTAGCCTTCTGCTCCACTTCCGTCCCCTTCCTCTATTACGTCGTCAAATGGTTTAAATAACCAGCTTTATCTCTCCGTCTGGGCTGTTGCTTATTTCAGACGGCCAATATTTTATCCCCTTCGCATTCTGCTCCACCTCTTCCATTCAATTTTAATCCCTCTCAAGGAGGCAAATGTGGAAGTTCCAGTTTTAATTACTGGAGCATGCGTGATGAAACCATTGATTCAATAGTAGCGCTAATTCCTTACGATCTTTGTGGTTAGAGCGAATATTTGCTCTTCCAACTGCCTGCAATCGCACCTTCGGCCTTTCTGATGCATCTCCTTCTCGAGGTCCTCACTATTCATCACTCAGGCCAGTTCCATCTCTCTTAACTTAGTGTCACTTCTATTCCTTGTCAAATGTGTTCCATTTTTTAACTCTCCTCTACTTCTCCTCTCCTTGCTTTGTAACTCCTGCTTCCCCCCTCTCAACATGAGGGGACGACAGGTGGAAAAAGAAATGAGAAGTGGAAGATGGAGTCTGCGAGGAACTGAAAATCAGCCAAAGTGCTCGGACCTAGTCCAAGATGAATCCATCTATTTGGTTGAATAAGTGGTTTGAGAGGAGAAAAGCAAATTTAAATGCCTCTAGATGTATGTTGACCCACATATAGACAAAATCACCTAACTTAGATTGCCTGAGTGTGCATTTCCACCTTCCGTTGATAGCGATCAGTGGAACAGACACACGCCGGACTAAAGAAAGACTTAGACATTGAGGACTACGCTGTGCCCACCCCTTTGAGGAATAGAATAAGGTAAGAGGAGTTCATGGTAAATTCGAGACTGCATTTAGTCTACAGCACCCATCATGACTGTTTCATCGAGAGAGATAGGAGCAAAAGTGAAGAGTGCATAGAATCCCATGCAAAAGGGTTCAGAAAAAGTGGCACGCAGGAGGAAAAAATGGATAGAAATAAAGATGATTTAAAAATGGGAGGGGATGGAATAGAATGTCGAATTGATATAACCAAGAAAATGCAAGACAGCGTGTTTCATGTAACACCATAGTGCTATAGGCAAAGGTAAGTTTATGGGAGCCCATTTTCCCATTTCTCGGGTAAGGTAGATGTTGGCCATTGGTAAGACGAGGTAGGCAAGATTTAGGATGCAGTGTTTTTTTTATTATCAAGACAAATTTAAAAAGAATGTGACATCCACTGAATTTCCATTTTGACAGGATGATTTGAGAAGGGAGGAAGCAAAAGGGGAGGAAAGAGAAGGCTTTAAACGGGCCTATGTTGGTATGTCCATATCTAACACCTGCAAGGCGAAATGAAACAGACTTACAATGGATGACTGGAATCCTGACTCAGGGCTAGCCTGGCTCTGTATTACGCTACTCTTAGGCCAGTGCTGAATGACGACAGGAAATAGGCCACTCACTACTAAGGAATTCTACAGAAGTTGAGGGTAGAATCTTCATTTTTCTTCCTAATTTTGTCCTAACCGCTGCCTCCAACCTGAAGAGGGAACTGTGGTGGTTGTTCAGTTATTCACGATTTCACGGAGATGAAGAAAATCGTGGTTCATTTGAAGGAAACAACGAAGTGGGAGGAAAATGAAAAGTGAAGGAGGGAAAGGAATAACAAATGCCTCTGCACATCAGGTAAATGATTTCAACCTCCTTGGTACCGGGATAGCAAGTCCTGTCTTCCATTCATCCACAACAATTCCGACTATCGGGGTGAGGAGCAGGTTGCCATGTGTAGCGCTGATAAGCAGCTCTCGCGGTTCAGCACTTCTCTTCTTCACAGCTGACAGTTGGCAGGTATCCAAATTGATCGGTGACATGTGTCACTTCGCAGCATATCGTGTCTTGGCCTTCATCATCATCCCATTTAGCTCATTTAACGGATGAGATGTAAATGATTTGAATCAGGCCATAAAGTAAGGAGCGTCGAAGTTTGATTGGCTGATATTTGGTCAGTTATACATAGAAGCGCCATCTCTCCACCCAGGAATCCTCCACCTCTTAGTTAGTTCATCTATCTATCCCATATCATTCTCTCACAAGCATTCCATTCGGTCGTGTATACATTCCTCTATTGGTTCATGCATTCATCAATCCAAGTGCTGCAATTACGTTCGTCTGCTATGGCAATTCCTTCCGTCCGTCTATGCTTCTACGAACTTTTGTCATCCTCCCATTCATGTCGATTCGATTTAGTCTTCCACCAATCTTTAATGAATACATTCCTCCTGGATCCATCCATTCAACCGGCCATCCATCAACTTGTTCGTCGATTTACCCATTAGTAAATGAACAAATGTACATTTGACCAATCGCAGGAATCTGGAAGATAGGCAATGGTTGAATTTTGATGGGATCCATTTCCTCATGATCAAACATCTTTCAGCCCGCCTTGATGTACTGCCATCCTTACCACCATGACCATCGTAATCACGACCAACCAAAGGCCAGAAATGAGAAGTTTGCCATGGGTGCTCATCGGAAGCCCCGAATACCATCTAAAGCCAGCCTTTGGAATGGTTCTTTTGGTCACATATTCCACTTCTAAGCAATTCATGTGTAGCCCGTGCAGATCCCCCCCCCCCCAAACCATGTGCATTATCTGCGATAAATTTTCCGGCTTCCAGATGACTTCATCAACACTTAATCGCAAGCTAAATGATGTAGTGCTCAACTTGTTCACTGGCAATGTCACATGTGTAGCAGACTGTTTTCTCTGTAAAGTAGGAAACGCCTCAGAAACTCCCCAATTCATCCCGTATTTACAAAGAAAGTAAAAATCACAATGAAGAGTACTTTATTGACTATTTGAGGGTATTAGAGACAATACCCGAATAAAATTTCCAGGCCTATGAAATTGAGCTGTCCCTTGTGTGGTGTTTCCCCTTTTAAGCTAAAAAAAATGACAGGCGACACTGACAAGGTAAAAGCATGCTCAGCTTAAGTGTTTCTTTAAAAATGACAAGAATGTATGACGTGATATTTCCGTGTGCCACGAAGCAGTATGCTTCCACATGGAGTGATCAGTCTGTCTACTTACCCCAGTTAACGACATAGGAAAGGAAGGAATTGAGAAGAGGCAGAAGACGAAGGATGGCTTTTCATCCGCAGGGAGTCCCTTCGCCATCTCAGCTGTAATAGTGCGTCAAAACAGAGGCAATCATTGTGTTCGCGCCAACAAATGCTTTGAGGAATGGCAAAACAGTCCGCTTACTGGACTTTGCTGCGCGATTGTCACGGCAGAGGTAGCGGAGAGCGGTCACAATTGTTGCTCTGCAAAGTGTACGACAATGATCCAGAAGTGATTGAGTAGACATGATCGGCTGTGAGAAAGCATGAACGTAGCTTGTTTTAATAGGAGCAACAGTGAGCAGACTTATGTATATTCTGCTGAAGCGTTCATCGGCGCCCACACAGACGATTTCCATCTCAGTTCCGCCAGCTGCCCCTGGCTCAGCGGAACTAGACGCCTGCCTCAGCGTCCCAAAGTGGACCGCCTTGCAAGTGTGAATGAAGTGGTCTGCCCTGCTCTCACCTTTTATAGCCTGCAAACTGCTGCATGTTCATGCACACCAAATAGCTGCATACATCTCCAGGTCAGATGAATAGGTCGGCGATTCAGGTTTGAACACACGGTCGGCATAGTAACGGCCTCCGTTGCTTCAGGACTTAACTTACAAACATGACCCCTAAATTGTAAACTACGCAGCAGGAGCCATCATCCTTGTTTAATTGGCATCATAACGGTTCAAACTTCAAAATACTATTTTCTAGTGTAGTAGTGAAGGCTTCTTATGTTACATGCAGTAATTGTAGCTCTCAAAGACCAAAGAAGGCGTAACACAGGGACCGATTAAGTACAGTCGAAGTACAGTAGGGCCTAGGGATACTAGCATGGCTAGGAGGCCAGGCCGCCCGGCGGAGGTACAATGACCGAAGCCGAGGTTTAAACATACATAGATGGGATTTTCCACAGGATAGCCACAAATGACGACATGGTGGTTTTTAAAATCTATTCCTGAAAAGTTTTGGCTATAAAGTGAGCAGGATTTCCATTTACTAAAACAAACAATGCATCTTAATGGTGGAATGTTCTTTCTAGAGCACACTGGGAACTAAGTAGTGAGATTAACTGTAGGCCAGATGAAAAGTGGATTAATTATGGCAGAGGCTTGATGCTAAGCTGGGAATGGGCCACAACGATAAGCATATAATAGCTGAAAAATTAAAACTAGAAGGTGAGGAAAAGCGACTTTAATGGCTTAGAGCCAATTTTGTATACGCAATATCCTTGCTAGCCGAATTCACTTCTGGCCACTGACACAGGAGCCTTGACGGAGACCCTATCTTATCGAAACTTAGGTGGCCAGCATGTGGATCCTCAGGAATAGCTGTTCTCCTAGTCGGTGGTATAATTACGAGATCTTTATAACATTAGTGGTCTGTCGGATTTCAAAAATAGGCAGTCGCTTTGGAAAATGCTACCACTGTGCGTTTCTCATGTAGCAAATTAGCAGGATTCTGTGCTTTTCAGTAAAAAAATCACCTCTTCCCCTTTTCCTTTCAGAAGTGCAAGTTTCCTTATGGCAAAGCTTTGCAGCATTAGTCTGAACGAGCTTTGTAATACAAAATCTACTTATCATCACATCCTAGTAGATTTTAATTAGCTTATTTTGAACTCTTGTGGAATAAGAAATGCGGTTTTGTAGGCCAATAGTTTCATGAGGAGGCTATCCATGCTGGTAAAGTTCCGTTGTAATGGTGATTGTTTGGTTGGTGTGTCCAGGTACGCCCTTCCATGCCTGACCAACTACTCCGAAGTTGGGAGGGTGTCAACGGTGGTACTCGGGTTCAGTAAAATCACAGGGATAGAAGGCATTTAGGTTCTAGGCCTTCCTGCATACACCTTTTCCAGCCAAGTTGTAGTCGGTATCATCAGATGAACAGAAACCTGTGTCATCGGATGGAAATATCCACTTCGTCTTCTAGCTACATAGCGATAAACTACTTTGCCTTTTAGCTTCAAAATAGTGTAAATAAAGTCAGTGATTCAATAATGGGTCCGTCTATCTACCTTTGATTTGCAGGCACACAAAGTGGTGTGAAGATGAAGGAAAGGTGCTCTGAAATCAGTGGAAGGGTTTGATTTTGAGGAGTTCAGTAAAGATCATTAAGCATTACACTGTTTGCTATGCTGATGTCAGTCATCAGTATGATTTCTCAACGGAAATCTGTGTTGAGTCTTACTAGGGATGGTTCAAAGAGGCGGACACCGTTATTTACACACCCACTGACCTTACTGAGGACATACTGTGTGTAGATGGGGAGAAATTAGAAAGCAGCATTTGATATCACGTCAACAAATTCACTATCGTTGCCTGTTCATTGATACTTGGCTTAGAAGCATTTTGGGGATATTTGTGTACGTTATATGACTGACATTACACAGTGACTTAAGTAAGACAGTGGGGAAAAAGAGAAGTAATGGGAGAGTCATTGAGGGGACGAAAGCATGTGTTAATGATTGAATGAAAATATTTAATAAACTTTGTGAAGAATTGTAAATTATTAGAAAAAGAATTTGCTTGAAATGCCATACGACAACAATAATTCGGCAACAAAAGAAAGATAATTAAAACGAAAGTACAAATTGACGATGAAGTAGCCTCCCAGAAAGGTTGATACGTCTATTATGCTATACAGCGATTCAGAATAACGCAGCACGTTACAGTGCACCACAGCACTTGCTGGTTCAGCACGGAATGACACGATCATGTTCACTTCGCTAGTCTTTACATAAGGTGATGAAATGTAGTTTCATGGAACATTGTTAATGTAGATGGATTATTTCCTGAGAGGGATTTAGTTAAAAAAATGCACAAGGGGAGATGAGGCAAATTTGATCGAGATGGCTCTACTTGAAAGTGCTGATAAGGCGAATGTGAATGTGTTAACCATCTTAATGTGGGCATAAAAGCCTTCTTTATGATTTAAACTATTTAGCGGTTAAAGTAAAGTCCACAAATGTTAAGGTATGTGGGTAAGTTGCTGATCGAAGCGATTTATTGAAGCGAAAATTTAATGGTAATAAAGAACACTCGAACGAGAATGTCAAAAAAACGCAAACTTCAACAGGATAAAGTTGTATAAAGACACAACTACGATGGTGTTTCTACTTTGTTGAAGCATGCATTTATGTTGATAAAAATTTATGACATTTGTTTATAGCAATTTTAAGGTCATGGAAACAATTAAAAGTACTCGGTTGTGTAAGTTGCTGTGACCTATAAAACTAGGTCGTTTTCTTTCTTTGTTGTTACGCGATGCAACGCAAATTGGATAGCGTTGTAGAAATAGTGTCAATACGCAATTTTTTTTGCGCATAGTTGCCTCTCGATTTGTTAAGTTTATAAGGGGAATCCAATGTTTGTTTGTGGTGCCAGTAAAAAACGATTTATCACCATTTTCATTACATGGTCTTTTTATTTGTTTCTGCCTCACCCTTTACCTGTTTGGTTTTGTTCCATGTCGTAGACTCCCTTGTATTCAGCCATTTCGTTAAAATATGTAAAGTATGCGACGTCACTGTTCTCATCTAAGCAAATCATATTTTACTTTGCCACAACTAATCTAGATCGGCATTTACCTAGTTTTCTGATCACTTTTTTGTACAGCTTGGAGTTTATTACTATTAATGGGTTTCACCACTCCTTATCAATCTAAAATCTAACCGAATTCAAATCTATTTTGGTATATTACTCACAGTACTCAACGATCAAAATACCTACTAATACCTTTAGTGCTATGCCAGTCTTTACAACCGAAATTTCCTGATCCCATCTGCCTATGCGTGTATTCCATACTGATAGAACCGAGCACTGGACGGAACTTGTGTCGCTTGACTATTGCTAGGCGCGGACCCCAAAATTGCTGAACAAACACATTTTTTAACTGATGTAGGCCCCTGCGACTAACCAGCCTCTTCGCTTTTATCGTCTTTGTATCTACATTTGGTCATTCACTCCTTCATTCCCCCACTTTCAACAACTTTCAACTCACCACTTGTGTGGTCTTTAGCCCTAAGTTTTTGGACTTCGTGTGTTGAATCATCGGTCCATCATCTACTTAAAAAACCATTTAATCCTCCAGTCTAGTTATGGATCGTCTTGATCTTCCATCGGTCATATATGTGGGATGTCGACTTTTGGAACATTTGTCACTTTGGCCTGGTACTGGCGGTCGCAAATTTCAGACAACCAATATCTCCTTCCCTTCTTTCGCCTTTTCACTCCGTCAGTCATTAACTTGTAATTTCATTCAGTCTGTCATCGGTGTACATTTCAAGTCAAGTCTCTTGGACCACACATGATTGAACCACTGATTCGCTGATTGCGTAGATTCATTCCAATCCTCGCAACTTGGGTAACAAAATGCTTTATCCTCAATTGCTGTTTTTCTTTTCAGGCACTTTTCCTCATAGGGATTCCGACCCTTCGACTCGCGTGTTCTCTCCGCTCCCTTTCGATTTCTTACTGTTTTTTGGAATGTTTGCACCACTCTTTCCCTCTTTTCTACTCCTTTTCCTTCCCCTTTTTGTGCTTCCTTCATCCCACTATTCAACGCTCATCTCAGCCTAGAATGGAGACAGGTGGCAAACGAAACTGGAATTAGAGGATGGATTCATTACGAAGAGCTGGACATCGAATAACTAACTAAAGAGCATACGCGCTTTCACCTGGCGCAGGATGAAGCTGTCTGGTCAGCTAAATGACTTGAGAAGAGGAGAGTCAAAATGATCGTTTTCTCGCACGGGGTCAACTTCGACTAACCGAAGATATCCAATAGTACAGATGCTCTACAGGGACAACAGGGAGACTTAAGCAAGTGAGCAGGCGCAACTTTGGTTAAAGAACGGACAAGTGCTTGCGTCCGCTGTCGTTTACCTTAAAGACATTCACATTGAAGTCCTGATCTTTTGATTACTCTGGTAGGGAACTGGACAGGCAGTTTGAATACTGACTACCTGCTTTGCTGTCTGTGTTCGGCAGTGTCGCATCGTTAGGCGTCGGTGGAGCAATGACAGTGCTCGATGCACTGTCAAGCTCAATGTCGTTGGCGTCACTAAGGCTCCCTCCCTCCTACGTTCCACATTCGTCTCAAATGTTGCGAAGATGGCTGGTAAGTAATGAATGAGTTGAAACATCCTCACAGTCAACCAAAACCATGTAAACTCAACCAATGTGATCATGCGGACAAGCGGCATGCTAACCACAGTGCGGGGTATGGGCTGCCATTTGCGTCGTGTTTCCGCTGAGTTGAATGATGGCAATTGCGGAATGAGGCCGTTGTGATTGGAAGTTGGTAATCTGGTTACTTGTTCACTCGTACTGTCAATCAAAGTGTGTTAGAATATTGATGAGCCGCATTCCAAAGGTAAAGGCCGATGTATATACTTCCATCTTCACATAATTCCACCTCAGTATGGCTAGTTATAAGTTAAATTATAAGAACAGGGAGACATTCGGCAACGTACCATTCCACCACTATTATGCGTAGTCGCCGCAGTTGTCCTACTGTGTGAGCTACATTGCTTTTAGTTTTTAGATCCGTCAAGTGGCTTGTTTCTATTCAAGACTGACAGTCAAAAATCAGTGGAAGAATAAATTGGTCAATTAGCAGGATATTAATTAACCACTTTTTGCAAAAGACGCCAAGTTTTTAAAGAGTAAGGTGTAAAAGAGTGCTGGCTTAACAAGTTGTCTAAAAAGCAGCTTGCCAAAACTTACAAGCATCAAATATCTGGTACCACTCTGGATCCTGCCCCTTGTGACATGGATGTATTTCGGTTTTGTTTCCTGGGAAGATTAGGAGTCGCTTAAATATTTATTTGCTAAGTTGCAAAAAAGCGTTAAAAGTAGTGGCATTAATCAAAATTGGCTCTCATCTGGTTGTCTTTAGGTATCAAAGTACTTCTGAGACCCATATTTGTTTAAGTTGTTGTTTTGTGGGCCGGTGGTTGTGTGCTCTAGGTCGGTTCTTATTCGTGATATCACGCAATCTATGTTTTAAGTCTGTTCATATAGTTAATTTTAGGGTTTGATGACAAATGTCGGGTTTTATTAATAGTGTTAGTGGTACTCATTATCTTAGTCACTTAAAATGTTTAAATGCGTGGAATAAACAAGAGGCCAACTGGTGGTCCTTATTACGGTTAATCACCCGATTTAGCACCGTAAATTGTTTCGTACACGTATTAAAACACGTGGGTTAACAACCCCTTCTTCTAAAGTTGGTGTTTTTATTGTTGTGCTATTGATCACTACTAGTCATGGGTTTCTCTGACAAGTTCTGTTTTGATATTTCTAACTTTCACATGTCAGTGTTGGTATACACATTTTATTTTCCTTCATGAGCATTTAGCACCAGTTTAAGTGTAACAAATGTGATCTCTAATAGCTTGTGAATCCCAGATTCATCTGCCCATATCTGTGTTTGTTCTATAAATTGCTTAGTGATTCTAGAACAATGCAGCGCCTTATACCTCATCTCCGTTCCAAGCTTTTCGTCTCCCTTTCTGCTTCCACTTATATCGTGCCAAAATTCCAGTCTCGCGGACTCGCAGTGAAAGTCACACAAAAAGCCCCTAATTTTGCTGGAACCGCTGTTGTTGATGGCCAATTTAAGGAAATCGAACTGCGAAACTACCTCGGAAAATATCTCGTCCTTTTCTTTTATCCTCTGGACTTCACTTTTGTTTGCCCGACTGAGCTCATAGCGTTCTCCGATCGTATTGATGAATTTAGTAAAATCGGATGTAACGTTATCGGTGTTTCTACAGATTCACATTTCAGTCATCTCTCTTGGATCAACACACCGCGGAAAGTAAGCATCTTTACAGCTATGAAGCATGTTTTTGCATCAATAAACGTAGTATCTGATGGCGATATTTTGCTTTTTAGGCAGGTGGATTGGGCGGTTTAAGGTATCCCCTTTTGGCCGACTACAAAAAAGAGATATCGCGAGAATATGAAGTTTTACTGGAGGATGCAGGTGTGGCCCTTCGCGGACTTTTCATTATTGACCAAAAGGGTGTTGTTCGAAGCATGACAATTAACGATTTACCCGTCGGTCGTTCTGTTGACGAAACTCTTCGTCTTGTTAAGGCATTTCAGTTTGTTGATGAACATGGAGAAGGTGGGCAATATTTTATGCATCTTAAACATTACTTATGAATTTTATGACACTTACTTGTTGTTTTTGTCGTCTTGGCTGTTGTTGCTGCTGCTGCAAGCTTAGCTGTCACGCTCCCCACCTACTTTGCGAGCTATCGCTACGTAGTTTTACGTGCATGAGTACTTGAATTTCCTAATAGAGTTGGTGATGCTAGTTTTTACTTTTTTGTTACGACACTCCTGCCACGTTTTAAATCGAGTTGATTTTGTATAGTAGTAACCTGACCCTTAGCCGATAAACATGGGCAAGAGATTGGTATTTAAATTAAATTTGATTCCCAGCCTACAATGCTTTACAGTGTTTATCCATCTTCAAATCTTACCCCTCCTCACAATCACCACATATGTATTGCTTGTCGTTTTAGAAACCTTCGATTTTATAAGAAAAAATGTTTGACATCTAATTTCGTTTAACATTCAACCTTTCTTGTATAGCCACTGGGGAGCCATTAAATGACACCTTTTAAACGCAATGCTACGTACATTGTTGACAATTGTTATGCTCCCAGTGTGTCATTAACACCATTTCTGCACCTTTGTAAGGTACGCCGGGAATTTCATAAATTCTGATTGGGTTGGCACGGTGACAATAAGTGAGATGCATCCTTAGTTTACGCGCTATATTCTGTCGCAATCAAGGTGATTGAGTTCATTGTTGTAAAATAGGTCGATATAGAATGTTCTTGACCTGGTAATGTTAGTTACTTTCTTATTTGTGTTTTGGTTAGAAAAAAATTAGCACTAATTTGTGGAACATGGTTATTTCCAAAACGGCTGAGTTTCTGTGGTGGTTAAATTTTTTCCTGAGACCCTGTTATCGAAGGTGTCAATTGAACTCCGTGTTTCTTCTAGTCTGTCCTGCGAACTGGACCCCTGAATCACCCTCCATGAAGCCAGATGTTGAAGGCGCAAAGGAGTACTTCAAGAAGGTCAACTAAATGACCAAGGTTAATCTGCCGGTACTGCTGATGTTATTAGTAACATTGTAGTATTCGTTCCATCTACTCATTTTTTTGCGCAAAATAAAGGTAGTCATTCTGTTTTATGCTTTCCTTTTTATCATACATTCGAGGTAGTGGGCAGCGACCCAAATTTGCTTATAATGATGTACTTTGCTCATAATAGTATATTTTACTCTCACTAGGGAGTTAGGTGGGTCTCTAATGTAACAAAGTGGAATGATTTGTTGCAGGGAAAAGTTCATGGAGAGGGTAATCTAGGTGTACTATATCAGAGAGTTAGATGAAACCAGTTACAGATGTATCGAAACGCTGACGATACAAGTAACGAGAAGACCTGATAAGTTCCCCCCTACTTTCAGATTTCTAGCTTCTAGAGAAATCGGCAATTAATCTGTTTAAGTATAGAAGTTAAGTCCCCTCTGACATCATTTTCTTCCTCCACTTTGGTTATTTAGAGTTGTTGTGTAACACAGCATTTCTTGAACGGTTTTGGCACTTTTTTCAGCACCACATATGCGTCATGTCAGATTTTCTCCCTTAAATCCCTAAAGTATGCCAGCTTTGGTGGAAGATTTTCCTCTCAAACCTTGGTGCTTAGTCCCAGTTTTAATAATTGCCTTTCCTTCGGTGCCGTAGTTACGAATGCCTGCGCAAAGATGATGTCCTATCCCATATCGACTTTCGCATCCGAAGGTTTTGGATTTACGCTAGAGCGAAATCATGTGACCTTATTGTTTAACTGGATTCTCCAATTTGATTGGTTAAAAGTTTGCAGTGAGGTCATATGCGCATAGCTAAGGAGGGAAGCGTTATCTTACTTGCGCATGACTTTTAATCCCCCTTTTTGTACTTCCACCTTGATGCCATGTGTGAATGAGGATCGAGTTTTTCCTTTCTTTGTCGCGGTTATCGTGATTTTACTTATGCGGAAATCACAAGGGGAAAAGTTACAGCCAGGTGAACTACCAATCCGACAAGGAAGCAATGACGACCCCAACAATTGCTGCCTAGCCTTTCATAAAAGATTGAGTGAATAGCATGCTTTTGCCTCTAAAACCTACCTCTTAGTTTTATCCTTCCTCGTGGTTCCAAATTCTCCCACGTGGGTAAAAATCTACCTAGTCTGGGGTGAATTACTTTGGGACAAAACAAAGTCTATTCGTTTAGCATCGCCCCACAAATGTTCTCCCCCTCTTCTCTTACATGGAAATCAGGTGTTTGGGGCATTATAAATGCCGCATCTCGAATGCCCGTCTCCCCCGTCCGCGCCTCCCCTCCCTGTCTGGGCCTGCCTCGAAAGCATTATCGCGTTGGCTCCCGCACCAGCGTGGGGGACCACGGTGATTGGACTGCAGCGGCATCCACCCATCCCACTGACCACCATCACTCCCACTACCAGGTGCGATTTTAACGAAGACAACCCAAGGAGGTGAGGTGGGGGGAGGGGAGAATGGTGAGGTAAAAGAATTTGTATGCTAGGCTATGCTCTGCCATGCCTCCCATTCCACTAGATCCTATGCCATTGGTCTTTAATTCAATGTGCAGGTGTAGAATGACGATGCGAGAAAATGGAAAGTCTACGTCCCCGCCTCACCCTAGAGGGCTAAATACAAGTTATTTTAGAACTGGTTAATGTGTTTAACTAATGCTCTGGTCTAAATCTAATGTGGGAGGAATTGACTTTGCAGTTGGAATATTTTCCCGAATCATTCAATGGTTTGTTATATCTGTCTTGGCGTCCTTACGGATATTATCCTTCATTCCTCAATTTCTCATTTGTTGGATGGGTTTCGGTGTTCTTTTTCAGCGTATTACAGATTTGTATAGCACGCTCTCGAACAGCGTCACATAAATGTGACACACATTTCTTATTGGTTTAGGGTAACTGTTCTTGTAGTCCAAATTATGTGTCCCGAACAGGTTGGATCAGCTGTGAAGGCAATATCAAATACTCCTCCGGGATCTTGGTAATGTTCGTGTCAAGGACATTTGGAATGAGGTGGCCTTAGGAACAGCTGTCTTCCGCCTCCTTCAAATGGCCTAATGATACATTCACAATTACTGCGGGGGTTGATTTACCTCCTTCCTATTCTTCTGGATGTTTTCAAATTCACTATCCCACTAGTCTATCTAGATGCAGGCTTTCATTAGAAAACCATAATTCTTTACATGGAACGAAGTATGTGTAGATATTTTACCACACCGCCCTTGAGTTATTCTTGATGCCATAAGGAGGCACCCAGGTTTAGCGGTGGAATCAGTAGCATGATTAAAACGCCATAACACCCAGTTTGGAGGCTGAATCGGGGGAGACTGGAAAGATCCGCTTCATAAGTTTCAAGCATCTAGCATTCCACACTACTGTTAACCACATTTATGTGCTTCCAGGGTCGCCAGTCCGGCCAGCTTATTTGCGCACGCAACCGACTAGCACGTGACGGTAATCCGACACGTCAAAACACGTTCTTTGGCGTCCACCTGAGGATGCAGTGTGCATAATGCGCCAGCGAGGACTACGCGCAGAACGTTTTGATGTTTAGGTAGGTGGAGACATAGCCAGTGAAGTGTTGGATGCATTTACAGATGGCGAATGGGTTAAGGTACGGTAGATCACTTCAAATTCGCTTGAATACTGGATGGTCAAAAAGACCCATTCGACCTCATGCTACAGCTCACCGCAATGACCCGTGACAGCGACTTTCAAGGTGCATGTTTATACGCATGTATTAAAAAGCACGGGTTGATAGGCGCCACTCGCACCGTACACTCGCCCTGGCATCCGTCTCCCACTTCGGCTGAACCCTCACGCCTAAAATGTCGATGATTCCTGATGGATGCGGTTCAGACTTGCCTACTTGATGAACTGAGTTTCATCCAATCTCACAAATAAAGAGCCTTCTTGAACGACGTGTTAAAAAGGAATCTTTTGGTGATAGATCACCCAGAGATGCATCAAGTCCTTCAGAAGCGACTTCGGCACAGAAAGATTTGTCAGCAGACATGCCCTATCCTAAAAAACCATTGCTTTGGCCAATGGCAGGAGGTTTTGTCTCTTGTTTATTTTTCTTATGAAACAAGTAATGAGGCTATCAAGCACTTCAAGCATTGGTCAAATACTCACAGGAATGATTACTAAGGATAGGTAGTGGAAACTACCACCACCACCACCTCTGCAACATTTCCACCTTTTAAATGCTTCTACTTTAAGTCTTGTGCGGATTTTCCCATCTTTAGGCTTCCCACCTTTGCTAAAGGTATCAGGACCAGCCCACGACGCCTTTTCCACTTGCCATTGCATGCGTTTGCACCATGCTAACATCCCATCCCATACAAATGTCAAAGCAATAGTCCCGGCTAGAGTTGAACGCCGCTGATCCACGCGAAAACCTAGGGGCAGAAACCGAAATAAGCAGGGGTGACCTTTCCTTATACCCTTCGAATAAATTAGTCGGACGGCTAAGTTTCCGTGATTATTTACACTCAGACTAAAGCGTATTAAGTGTGCCATGGGTATGGGGAACTACCCCAAATGATCTGATTTATGGCGGTTAAATATACGCATTATCTGCCATAAGACACAGACTGCGGGACACTTTAGACGACCCCGGTGTGTCCCACTGGTCATCCTCATCATCAAACCTGGTCTTCAAAAGCCTGTCATTTCTCTCTCCCTCTTCATCCAGGTGCACAATCTGTCTCCCCCTCCACCTACTCCTGTCAGTCCCTGTCCCCTCTCCTTTGCCTAAGGGGCGCAGGACAGTGGAGGGAGGGGTAAGAGGGAGACTCTTGATGATAGAACACACTCACCCCGGTGCCCACTTCCCCCCCCCTCTCGAAAACCCGTACTGATTGGTGGAATAAGCCTCTCGATCCGAACTAATGTCCGCAGTGGTCACGATCCCACAAGTCATGGAGTTCGGTACCCAACAGTTAGCCCTCTGGCATAAGCGTCGAAAGCAACAGGAGAAGAAGTCTCTACGATGTGACGAGAAACTATGCAGTTCGGGTAAACGCGTACGAGCTTCAATCTTTAATCCTGCTGTCAATCTGTTGGAAATTAAGTCGTCTAATATCGAGGAGGTATGTCCCTTTATGATGAGTGATTATTATCTCTCACGCACTTCATTAACGGTTACCTTGATTGTTCTTTTTTAAAGTCCAAATTTGGATTGTTCCATGCTTCTAATTTTTTACTAAAAGTTAAAATACGCTGCCCTGTGGAAATCTTTAACTTCTTAACTACGTTTGTTAGCGGTTGTGCTAAGTCGATCTACACCAAAGTTCACACAAGAGGAAAAACGACCCTTTTGGTTGTAAAGACATTTTTTTAGGATATAAAGGTATTTTTTAAACATGCATGTGCATATTTCTCTTTACACTTCATGCTATCACCAAAGGTAAATAAGTTACGGTAAGATGTTGCCATAGTGACGACAAGACCCATACTGGTTACGACTGTCGAAGCTCTGGTGACTTTTACCTCACTATCACCAAGTTCCTGGGTATCGACTGGGAAAACTTATTTGTAGGCATAGGCGTTCCAAAGTTCCACTCCTGTAACCTCTTCAACCGTAGTTGTTTCCCACTCCAAAGGTAGTATTCGGTTCCTCACACGCATGGTTTCAAGTCGACGTCTAAAACTTTTTAATCAGCTTGGAGATCCTTATCCAGGCCTTCTCTGAAGCCGTAAAGAGGCACATCAAAGTAGAAGGGTGGTTTAATGTTGGTGTACGGAAGGACTTGCCGCCTATAGGCGTCGTGGGGAGGCCATCCAGCCAAGACGGAAGTACATGTTACGGAGACTGTAATGCCAATAACAATTCACTAGGATAGGAACCCGTTTCACTTTGTGGCTGTCTCACTGAGGCAAAATGACCATTCCATTATGTTCTCCTTTCTGCTAGTAAAAAATTTTCCCCCATATCTGGGTATTCACTGTCTATGATTGAATGAAATCTCTCCAAACAATTATCCATCTTTATTTATCCTGGCTGAATTAATCTGCTAATAGGTCTTTTTCAAATAAGTTGGAACTATCATTTATTCCGTCTGACTTTTTAATTAACAGTTCACTTTATTTGCTCATAAAATGAACGTGAAAATGGTTTTCACCATTGATTCTTCAGGATGAATAAATCATATCTATTATTTGGCCGGAGGTACAAAGGCTTTTGAATTAATTGCTCGTCTTATTCCCATTCTCCTTCAAAAAAACTTTTCATACTGGTGTGTCGAAGGCACCCCAACATCAAGCTACTATGACATCCGCCGCTACTAATTGACATAGGTGAAATGAGGCTTTAAGCTGATTGGCTGCTGTGTGCTAATCACGTGGATCATGGCCGGAATAAGCCCAGGGGATTAATAACCAACACTGGCTGTCATGGGCAATGGTAGTGTCAGCAGGCCTTAAACGGACCATTCGTCAGTACGCAAAATTTGTCCAGACTGAGTAGATGAAGTACATTGATTACATGGTTCAATCCTCCTTTCAGCATGTATCCCACCAATGGAGTGTTTTGATTAATCGAAAAACTTCGCGGCGGAAATTAAGGCCAGTGGGACAGACTGGCCTCCATGGGAGGCGGCTGAATTCACGAAAATTCCAGCAACATCCTCTGCTCTCTTAATGGCTTTTTATTTTCTTAGCCGGTTTTTACAGGAAAAAGGAAGTCCTGCATTATGTTAATGTGGCAGATGACATGAACCGATGTGTTCGGTATAAGGCTTTGCTGGGCGAAAAACATAACCGCCCGCCTGAAACCAAAAAGACGTCGTGTTGACTTTTACCGTTTTTATTTATTTTTTTTTAGTTATAAAACGATTTAGCACAAGCATATTTGGTTTGAATTGATAAAAACAGCCTGTCACACATATGTGTCGATGGTAGTGGATAAGTAGATCAAGGCTCCAAGCACACTAGATGCTGGAAAGGACAGTGAAATATGAATTTTCTATGCGAAACGCGTTTTGAGCGCGAGTTCTGACCAAAGTTATGGTGGCCAAGAGTCCAGCCACAAAATCGCTCGGTTCCCTTATCTACGGGTTTTGGAGTCATTTGTTTTAAGGAGATATTCACGAATGTAATTTTTAAATCCTTAATCATTTTTGTATTTTGCAGTCAGTACTGACACTATAAAGCCTACCGCACTTTGAAACCACTTTTTAACCACTGAAGACATTCTTGACATTAATGTAGTACTCAAGAATAGGATTTGCAATTGACACAGGAAGCTACTCCAAAACCACAAGAAAGGGAATTTGTTAATCACAAAAGGATTACTGGGAATTGAAAGTTCCTCCCAAACAGCCGGCGTCCATACGATGGGTCAGTCCAAATATTGTTCTTCAAAATGCCAGACCAAAACGTATGGAGCAGCATGTGTTGCTGAAAGATGTCCCATGTAGATGAAGACGATAAATCAGAGGCTACCCTCATATCTGCGGAACACTTTAAGCGCAATGCGGTACAGTACTTTTATGACTGTCTGTCAGTGACAAGATCGGCTGTGATGGCATCCAACGTGCCTACAGAATGGAGGAATTCTAGTGATCACTCAGCTAGCGAGTGAAAAGTGTCATTTTGGATGCCTGACCAATATGTAAGCTGTCATGTGACAAAATTCCAAAAGAGACAGGTCTTCCTATAAGAATGGTAGGCCTGTTCACCTTGGGTGCAAAACGGTTCTCCATGCCTAAGCTTTTCAGGTATCAGTCAAACGCTGGAATGAGTTGCAAATGCAGCAAAGGACGACGTCCAAGATATTTTATTTTACTAATAGCCTTTATCTCCCTGATCGAAAATGACAAAACCTTTGAAAAATTGAAGTAAACATGAATTGTCGAGAAGCATTGCCTCTAACTAGGACAGCACAAAAGGAGTGTTTTAATAAAAAATTGGCTAATCAACTTTTGCTTTATTACAATTGCCGCGTTTTTTGTTTGGTCACTGTGACACGTGATGAACTATCCAAGGTATCGAAATGACTTAATACCCACAAATTTTTAATTTTACACCTAAGCATTTTTCATCTCGTTTTACCTATTGTAATCTGTCTGGCACTTCTGAAATTCCATCTTCCCTTTTCTCAGACTGCCCTACTTATTTATATAAGTAGCAAATCTGAAAATTTGCTCGTTTTAATGTAGTAGGGACTGCTAGTCTTTTAAAACACCATAGTTAATTCAAGTGATCTTATTCATCAATCCAAAGAGCCTATGGTGAAGATTCCACACAGCACCAATTGTGGTTTCACTTTTGCCTTATGTTTAGGATAAGTGGAATTCTTCCACTGACGTGCAAAGCGAAGATGACGAATACGAGAGAAAAAGAAGAGCCACCCAACGTGAGCAGGATAGACGTCGAACGGAGGCATTAAATAGAGCATTCGCGCAACTACGAGCCTCCCTTCCGCATGTTCCACACGATACCAAGTTGACAAAACTGCGAACACTACGGATAGCCATTGCATACATTCGACAACTGCAGGCTGTGACGCAGCTACAAAGTCAGGACAATCACTCTTCCTCCCCTCCCTCCTTTCCTCCACCCCCACTACCACCATGGGCACCATGACAACGTCCCCTTTTGCCACTCTTGTCTCCTTAGTGTGAAATGCAAGATGATTTGGAAGTGGTGAACTTCCTCTGATTTTGTTAATTACAAATTTATTTCTCATTACATTTTAGGAGTGATTACGAAATCTATCTACTCGGTTTGATTGATGAAGGCTAATTTGCAACTTTACAATTAGCAACTAAGATCAGATCCAATTATAAGGGCTTGCTAACTCCATCAGAGACTTTGGAGTTTATTGAATAAAAGAATCTGGATAAATGAGTGAAAACCGCACCCAATTTTCTGCATTGTCTTCTAGTACATACGTATATGCTTGCCTTAGCGTTTTGCTAGCGCCTGAAAAACTGTCTTAGCACGAAGATTTGGCATCATGACTGAACCAATCCGGGATACGGTAGCAGCCCCTGTAAGGGACAAAAGTGATTAAAACGCTTGGAAAGCCACCACCTCAGGTATAGATGTGGATGATCAAGTACAGACATCTATGAGTTTAAGTTAGTTGTCAGACTTTTCCTCTCGTGTGCAACTGCTCTCAATGGGGTCACGACCTACGCTTATTTGCGTTCTGATTATCTCTGGGTCAGCGCGTGCTTATCTCATCACACAGCCTGCTTCCCATCATTGTCGGAGCGCTGACCTCCAGAGTGGATTGATGCACCCAGGTTTTGATATAATCCAGACGATCCACGAGCTGGATAAATATTCACACCAATTGCTAGAGAGAATTGAAGTTGGGATACACCATAGCCGAAATCATTACGTTTGAACTAAATATTTTTTTGTTGAAAAACAAACTTAATTTATCACCAAATGCGGTTCCATGCATACACCACCGCTGCCGTCGGCCGCAGGGCACAGCCGCCGCTTACTACTATGTATAGTACCGCTAAGGTCGTTCCTTTTTTAACCGGTATAAAATTAAATACCCTCGTTTAATCCGAACAAGGAATCGCAACTTTCCATCTGTGGAATGCACCGGTCAAATAACGCCTTTTATAGTCACTCTACTACCAAAACCTAAGTAAACCACTTTCAGTTTTGTAAATTTTGCAACCGAGTGACTATCAAACTCACAAAACTGGTTTCCATCACCCACTTATTCTTGTGGGGTTGTCTTCAGCTCTCTGTCGTCCGACTGTTTGTCCAGGTTCTATTTTAGCCACGGGAATCCAAATGAGCAAGTCTTTTAAGTTTAATGGCGCGTCACTTGTTAGGCTGCTTCATTGTAGAACACGATGTAGATTGCAAGGCAAAGTTGACAAGACTTCACCTAACCGCTTAAAATGTCCCTTTTCTGTGAGTTTTGACTTTGACTATCACTTGTACGCACATAACAACCGTGACCTCCTGAGGAAACTATAAGGACGCATTAGTCTGAGTAGAAATTCATTGCTGAAATATGGATGGACTGGTCGAAATTGGCAATTAAAGGACCTACAAACACAAGGGTTTATGCATCACTAAGGCTACAATTGCTCTTCATTTAAGCAATTACAGACATATTACGAACTTTGAACTCATCGAGGCTGATGTAGTCACTCGG